AGACCTTCCAGGCGCCTCATGGAACGCTCAAGACAGCCCAAAAAGGGGTCCAGGGAACCCTCCAGGACATATCATCCGAGACGACAAACGCTAAATCCAGAAGGGGAATCAATGATTTGATTGTGTTCTCGCCTTCTCGCCTGCAATGGGCTGTCGAGGCGTCCAGATCGTCCCCCAAGAGGCTCCTAGGAGGCCCCAAGACGCTCCCAACGAACCCCCGAGGGGCTTCAAGAAATCCCATGAGGCCCCCAAAACAGGCGGCCCGCATTTCTGTGGCAACGTGGCCCTCGGGAGGGTCTTGTGTCCTCTCGCATGTCCTCTCCAATCGAGTCCGACTGTAAGGCCACAGTAGGTCCGAAGAGATCCCAAGAGGCCTCGAAGAGGCCGCCGCCAAGCCCCTGCGCGGCCCCCAAGAGACCCCAACAGGCCTCCCGAGGCCCCAAGAGACCCCAACAGGCCCCACAAGTCAGCCTACAAGCCCCAAGGACCTTGCAAGGGCCCCCAAAGAGACCAAAAGAGGCTCTACAGGGCCACCGACAGACCGCTCGAACTTGATCGAACGGTCTCTTCGATTCTAGCAGGTTTTCAAGCATCCGGAAGTTTCCATGCCGCGTTTTCTTCGGCCGTTGTTGGGTTAGGTTTGGGTCCCTCGGACGCCAAGACGGCCCGAGATGCCCTCCAGACGGCCCAGACAGCTCAAGAGGGCCCCAAGAGGGCCCGAGATGCCCCCGAGAGGCGTCCAAGACTCTTCCTGCAGGGCCTCAGGAGACCAACATCCTTCAAACGCCGGAGGCACACCTGAGGTTTTTGAGGAACTTCTTTTTTGCCTTTCTGTCGGCCCCCGACGCCGGCGGATGGTCTCCTGGGAGCCCCAAGACGGTCGGCAGGGGCCCCCCGAACCCTCGGAGGTGGCCCCGAGTCGGCCACAGATGGTCTCGACACGGACTGGGAGACCGCCGAGGCAGGCCAAGCTGGCTGACAGACTGCCCGAGCAGGGCACGGTGTCTCCAAGACGGCCCGCAGACGCCAACAGGAGCCTTCCAAGCGGCCTCCCGGAGGCCCCCAGGACGCCTGCCCCCGCCAGGCTCCCGAGAGCCCTTCAGGAGGCCCCGGGAATCTCCAAACTCATCCCCTACATGACCCATCAGGCTCCCAAAGGGTCCTCCTACAACCCTCGTCAAAAATAAACTGAGGGATTCTGTTTTCGGTGATTGTATGGTCAGCGCTACTCCAATGCTGACGCTAGATATCTGACTTGGACGCAAGGGCTTCAAAAATCCGACGACCCCTCCGCAGCATTGAAGAACGCAGTTTCTAACAAGTGCCCGAGAAGATCGATCGTCGTGATTTCCAACTGCGTTTCTGATTATTTTTGACGAGGCTTGTAGAAGTCCCCAGAAGACCCGAATTCGTCAACAACGCAAGGGAAAGCATGTCTTCTGAAAACCCAGACTTTGCGCTTGCGATGAACTTCCGAGTCTCATCATGTTCAAAAATGGCTCCAGAGGATCCAGATGGAGCCCCAGGACGGTCGTTCAGAGGACCCTCCCAATTTTACTACATATTCATCGTTTTGGCAAGGCTTGCGATGGACTTGCAATCCTGGTTTTGCCTTGCCGGTGACTACGGATGTTCCCGGAGGCTTTTTTTTGAACATTTGGCCGACGACGACGGTGATGATCTTCGTAGTGATTCTCTTCAGGACGATGCTGACGATAGGGAGGACGTCCATGATGAAGGCGATGATGACAGTGGTGACACTCATGCTGATGACAATGTCTACCACCCCGCCGGGAGCCCTGGAGCCGGGGAAACAAATAAGACCGCCCTGAAACGGCCTGGTGGGACGGCTTCTGAGGCCCCCAACAGAGCCCGATATGCGTCCAACATGGCGCCGGCATGGACCCCAAGGTAAAAGAACGTGGAGGTGCCTTAAGGCAACGACATCCCAAGATATCGCAAAGAATACCCACGATGCCCCAAGGAGTCTTCCAGATGCCACCCGACGCCCCAGAAGGAGCCTTGAGGAACCACTTCGAGCCCCGAAGACTCCGAAGCAGTCTCAAAAAGGCCCCCCAAAAGACACCGAGGATGTTCCCAGAGGTCTCTCAGGGGACATTGTCGAAGACGGCGATATTATTCTCGAACTGATATTTGAAGATTCCGCTTCTACTCTTGCGACGGCCCTGCAAGTCTGATGCTGCCTTGCAAACGGCCGTTGATGTTCTCGGAGGCCTTTCCAGAAACATCTCGCCGACGCTCGCGATCTTGATAATAATCTTCGCGAAGACGCTATTATTGGTGACGCTAATGATTGGGGTGAGCACGAAGATGCGAAGGACGATGACGATGTCGACGCTGTCGCTTACGATGACGTGTTTTACCATCTGAGGGGGGAGTGAACGTGGCTCAAAAGGCAACCCTGGAGGAGAAGCTGGTTCCAGGGAAGGTCTCCCGATTTCCGGGTTGGAGTAGTGACGAGCTCACGACCTCAAGTGTTTGATGCTGCCGACACCGTTGCGTTGGATCGAGGCTAACGCATCGGAACTTCTCAACCACCCCCCCGCCGCCATATCTGGCGTTGTCCAGAAGAGTGTGTGTGCGGGGGGGGCCTCAAGTCAGCAGTTGACCTGGGGGGGAGGAGTCGCACGGGCCAGGAGGCACCTCGTGACAGACCAGGCAAACGGTTTTCAGCGAATTTCGGTCGCGCGAGAAGCACCACCCTACTGGCAGGCCCCCGTGCGACGACGACGACGACGGAAAGCAGAAAGGAGAGACAGTGGGAGGAGAAGGAGGGGGCAGTAAGGTGGGGCATGGAGAGGAGAGGCGGATGCAGGAGGGAAGGGGAATCGGATGAGGAACCCGAGGAGGCAAGGAGTGATCGTTGTCGTCGTCGTCGCTGGCGGCGTCGTGGCACGCGATTCCATCCAGCGTTCGGCAGGTCGTCGAGCCACTCCGGAGACCCCCCCGACCTGCGCTAGAGCTTGAGAGCCCAAGACCGCACAAGAGCGTTTCAAAATTTATCACATGGCTTGAAGACAGCCCAAGAGGGACTCAAGACGGCCAAGATGCCTTCAAGAGGACTCCCACGAGGCGCTTAGGAGGCGAAACAAGTAGATTGTTTTTGTTTCTATGGTTTTGAAGGTTTTTCGTGTTCTCGCTTTTTCGTGCTTCCGACGGCCCAAGACAGCCCACGAGGCCCCAGAAATCAGCTCAAGACGGCCCAAGAGGCACCCGAAGAGGGCGCCACGACGGCGCAAGAGTCCCAAGACGGCCCAGGAGTGCCCCAAGACGGCCCAAGTGGCGCCCAAGATCGCCCAAGAGGGCCCCAAGACGGCCCCAAGAGGGACCCAAGAGGGAGAACACGAACCGACAATTCGAGCTTTCCGTCCCAAGAATCCCCCAGGAGGCCCCAAGAGGCCCCCAAGAGAGCCCAAGAGGCCCCTAGAAGCCCCACGATACCCCAAAGCGGTCCAAAAAGAGGCGCCACGAACACCCCAAACGGCCCCCAAGAGGCCTCCAAAACTGCCTCCAAGAGGTCCCCGGGAGGCATCCCACGAATTCCAAACGAACTTCCGAGAGGCCTCTAACTCACAACCCACGTTCGGTGGCGGTATGGGACGAAGGCCACTAGATGGTTTAAGACGCCCAAGACGGCCTCCGGACGGCCCAAGAGGCCCCCAAGATACCCAAGAGGCTTCCGAGAGGTCTCCCAACAGAGCCTCTACATGTTTTTTCCCACAGATTGTTGAACAGTTTTGGCGTTTCCGCTTGTTCCGCTTCCCGACGCTGCAAAACGCCCTCAGAGGTTCCGAGGACCGCCCTGAGACGGCCTAATAGGCTTCAAAAGCGCCGAAGACGGCATGAGAGGGCCCCAACTGCGGCCCAGGATCGGGGACGTGAACCGAGAACCCGAGATCTTCCGCACAGGACCCCCAGGAGGCTTCAAGAGGTCCCCAAAGAGCCCCAAAGAGACCCAAAAGAGCTCCGAGAGAGGCCCCGAGGGCACTCGAGAAAAACGTGAATTCCAACATCTTTTTTTCCCAACCATCCTGTGGTGTTGGGTCCTCGTTTTGAAGAGACGGTCTCCGCTTTCTCCTCCGTCCTCCCTCCTCGTCCCCCTCCTTCCTCCTCCCCCTCCTCCTTCCTCCCTGCGTTTCACCCACCCAGTGCAGCGTTTCGTGGCCCCATAGGGAGCTCCACCGACGGCCCCAGTGACACCGCCCGCATGCGTCTCCCCGACCAAGTACAGCGTTTCGTAGCCCCATCGGGAGCTCCACCGAAGGCCCCAGTGCTACTGCCCGCACGCGTCTCCCACACCCAGTACAGCGCTTCTTGGTCCCATAGGGAGCTCCACCTCGAAGGTCCCAGTGGCGCAGCCCGCATGCGTCCCCCCCAAACCCAGTACAGCGCTTCGTGGCCCCATAGGGAGCTGGAGCTCCACCGACGGCCCCAGCGCTACCGCCCGCATGCGCCCCCCCTACCCAGTACAGCGTTTCGTGGCCCCATGAGGAGCACTTCCGACGGCCCCTGTGCTACCGCCCGCATGCGTCTCCCCCACCCAGTACAGCGTTTCGTGGCTCCGTAGGGGGCTCCACCGAAGGTACCGCCCGCATGCGTCCTCCCCACCCAGTACAGCGTCTCGTGGCCGCATAGGGAGCTTAACCGAAGGTCACTCTGCTACCGCCCGCATGCGTCCCCCCCGCCCAGCACAGCGCTTCGTGGCCCCATGGGGGGCTTCACCGACGGCCCCAGCGCTACCGCCCGCATGCGTCCCCCCCACCCAGTACTGCGTTTCGTGGCCCCACAGGGAGTTCCACCGACGGCCCAGTACTACCGCCCGCTTGCGTCCGCCCCCACCCAGAACAACGCTTCGTGGCCCTATACGGAGATCCACTGACGGCCCCGGCGCTACCGCCCGCATGTGGCCCCCCAGCCAGTACAGCGTTATGTGGCCCCATACGAAGCTTTACAGAAGGTTCCAGTGCTACTGTCTGTGTGCGCACCCCCACTCAGTACAGCGTTTCTTGGCTTCATCGGGAGCTCCACCGAATGCCCCAATGCTACAGCCCGCGTGCGTCCCCTCCACTCAGGACAGCGCTTCGTGGCCCCATAGGGAGCTCCACCGTCGGCCCCAGTGCTACCTCCCGCATGCGTTCCCTGCCACCCAGTGCAGCGCTTCGTGGCTCCATAGGGAGCTTCACCCAAGAAGACATTCACAATGGCGATATTCACAACACCATATGGTTGGGTGCTTCGACATGATATGTTTAAAGTTCGCCTGGCAGCTTCGCCACGCTTGCACACAACTAACCTGGCGAAGGACCCAACCATTTGCAGTTGCGAATGCCGCAGCTGTAGGTATCGTCTTCGGTGGAGCCCCTTGCAGGGCCACGGAACGCTGTACTGGGTGGGGGAGACGCATGCGGACTGCGCATTTCGAGCCTTCGGTGGAGCTCCATACTGGGCCACGAAGCGCCGCACTGGGTGTGGGAGACGCATGCGGGCTGCGCCAGTGGGACTTTCGGTGGAGCTCCCTATGGGGCCACGAAGCGTTGTACTGTTGTACTGGGTGGGGGAGACGCATGCGGGCTGCGCCACTGGGACCTTAGAGGGGGGGATCCCTATGGGGACACGACGCGCTGTACTGGTGTGGGAGACGCATGCGGACTGCGCCACTGAGACCTTAGGTGGGGCTCCGTATGGGGGCATATGGGGCCACGACACGCTCTACTGGGCGTGGGAGTCGCATGCGGGCTGCGCCCCTGGGAGGTGGAGCTCCTTACGGCGCCACGAAACGCTATATTGGGCGGGGGAGACGTATGCGGGCTGCGCCACTGTGACGTTTGGTGGAGCCCCTTATAGGGCCACGATGTCCGAAATTGGGTGGGGGAGACGCATGCGGGCTGCGCCACCGGGACCTTGGATGGAGCCCCCATATAAGGCCACGCGGTGCTGTACTGGGTGGGGGGGGGACGCATGCGGGCCGCGCCACTGGGACTTTCGGTGGAGGTCCCTCTGGGGCCACGAAGCGTTGTACTGGGAGGGGGGGGGCGACGCATGCGGGCTGCGCCACTGGGACTTTCGGTGGAGCTCCCTCTGGGGCCACGAAGCGTTGTTCTGGGTGGAGGAGACGCATGCGGGCTGCGCCACTGGGACCTTAGAGGTGGAGCTCCCTATGGGACCACGAAGCGCCGTACTGGGTGTGGGAGACGCATGCGGGCTCTATGGCCGTCGGTGGAGCTCCGTGTGGGGCCACGAAGCGCTGTACTGGCTGGGGGGGACACATGCGGGCGGTAGCACTGGTGCCGTCGGTGGAGCTCCCCATGAGGCCACGAAGCGCTGCACCGGGTGGGGGGGGACGCATGCGGGCGGTAGCACTGGGGCTTCAGGGGTGGAGCTCCCCATGGGGCCACGAACATCTGTACTGGGCGGGGGGGGGGGGGCGCATGCGGGCGGTAGCACTGGGACCTCTGGTGGAGCTCCCTATGAGGTCACGAAGCGCCGTACTGGGCGGCGGGGAGACGCATGCGGGCGGTAGCGCTGGGACCTTCGGTGGAGCTCTCCATTTGGCTACGAAGCGTTGCGTTGGGTGGGGGGGGCGCATGCGGCCGGTAGCATTGTGGCCGTCGGAGGAGCCCTCTCTGGGGCCGCGAGACGATGCCCGGCTGGGCGTGCCGTCGGTGGAGCTCCCTGCGGGGCCACGCAGCGCTGTACAGTCGGGGCCCTGAAGAAGGAACCCTTTTCGTTGGGGAGGGGCTCCGTGTTCCTTAATTGTTTCGCAGCTTGCCTTGGATTTTCTTTAGGTTTCCGATACGAAATCGAAGTTCAACTTATGGAAAATAGGGGCCTCGTTCCTTATGTAGGGTTCCTTCGGTCAACGCCTCGGCTGTACTGGATGGGGGGCGAGCCCTCTCGGGAGGCTCACGAGTCTCTCTGGCGGCCGCTCGGGCCGCTTCGTGCCCCGCCAGGGCGCTCTCGGCGCCGCTACGGGAAGGCATCCCGGGGCCAGGAGGCGTTTGGGAGCTCCCTCTGCTGACGCCCGAGGCAGAGCCTCTCGTCCCTCGCGCCCCCCCCCGCGGCGCGCCGCCGCTCCGCGCCCCACGGGCAGGGCCTCCGCCCCAGGCGCTGCCCCCCGCGAGAGCCCGGAGCCAAAGAGTGCGGCTGCGCCCAGCCGACGGGCCGCCGCTGGACGTCTTTCACGCCCTCGCGGACTTCGTGGAGCGGCCTTTGTCGCTGCGGCCCCGCCAGCAGTGACTGCCCGCGGCCTGGACTGCACGACTGCCCGCGGCGAGCCTGGCTGCCTTCGGAGAACACGCCTCACCTCTCCCGGCCCCTCAGACGGCGTCCGAGCAGATCGGGCCCGAGGGTCGCGCCGCATCGCCGATGCATCGGCGATGCGGCCCGATGTGGAGCCTGCTGTTCTTGTCGCCAACGGCGGCGGTGCACCGCCGATGCACCGCCGATGCATCGGCGATGCGGCGCGAGCCTCCGACCCCCATCTACTTGGACCCAATGTCGAATGCTTCTACTCTGGGAGGTCGCCAGTTCGAAGCACTTGCACCGATCCTGGCTGGGCCGATCCTTGCTTGGGGCCGTCTTGGGGCCCTCTTGGGCCGTCGTGAGCGCTTCTTGGGCCATCTTGGAGCCCTCTTGGGCCGTCTTGGGATCCTCTTGGAAACGTCTTGGGCTGTCTTGGGGCGGTCATGGGAGCTTCTGGAGCCGTCATGGAGCGTCGGAAAACCGAAAACGCGAGAAGGCCAAAATCCTTCCAACAACCTTTTTGTGAAATCTACGTTTTTGGCCTCTTGGGGCTCTCTCCGGAGACCTCTTGTAGCGCTCTTGGGGCCTCTTTGGGCCCTCTTGGGCCGTCTTGGAGTCATCTTCAGCCGCATTGGAGCACTCTTGGCTTCGGTAATGCGCATCTGTCGTATTTTTCTGGAGTTTATGGCTTCGGTGACGCGACTATTGTTTACTTTATAAGGGTTTGTTGCTTCGGGGGCGCAAACATTGTAACTTACGATGGTTTGTGGCTTCGGGGACGCAAGCATGGCGTAACTTACGAAGGATTATGGCGTCGGGGGCGCGAATCTCATGTATTTTTGCGTGTCCCACGCCTGGGCATGGTAACCGGCTGGTTTGGGGTTCCCCCCCCTCGCGCGGATTTCAATAGTTTACAGTAGGAAGCAAGAAAAAGGACTGCATCATTGGAGGTTTGAAACTGCAATTGGTGCAGGGAGCAGCACACTTCGGCCTACAGCCTGGTGGCCCCACAAGGGGTCCGGCGGTTGACGGGAAGCGCCGTCTCGGAACGAGAAGGTGATGGGAGTTTTCTAGCATGTCTAAGTGAGGTATAAAGTGAGGTGTAAATAAAGAGCAAACTCGCAAGGGACAACTGACTCCCGATTGTAAATGTTGATGCGTTGGCGGATTCCGCTCAAAATGGCCGTTTCGCTCGAGACATCCTCAACAATCGCCTCCAGAGGGGACTCCGAACTAGCACTATCTTGCAATCGTTCCCGGAGGGCTTCAAAACCGCTCAAGAGAGCCCCGGAAGGCCTCCCAGGGGACCTCCAAAGCGCCCCAAGAGACCCCCAAGAGGCCCCCAAGGGGCGCCCAGAGGCCTCCAAGAGCGCCCGAAGAGGCCCTGGGACTGCGCAAGAGAGCCCCAAGACAGTCCAAGAGAACGCCAAGGCAGCCCGAGAGTCTCCACAGACCCTCGAGACGCGCCCCGACAGTCCAAGAGGGTCACAGAAGCCCCCAACAGGCTCCCAAAAGGCTCACAACGGGCTCCCAACAGGCTTTCACAAGGCTCTTCAGAGGACCCCAGAAAGTCCAAGAGAGCCCCAAGAGCCCTAGACGGCCCGCGAAGTCCATAATGTGCTCAGGGCGGCAGATTAGCTCGACAGACCAGTACGGCAGATTAGCGCGGCAGGCCATCGCAATGAACCGACAGCATGTGTCTTAATTTGTTGTGTTGCGTTTCTAGGTTTCGTTGACGTTCTCCACCATACGTTCTCTGACACGCTTGGTGGACAAAAACGGCGCTTCCCGTTCTTGTCCGGTCAGGTTCCCACCAAAGTATGTTCGAAGAACCGTTTGCACAACATGTTCACAAACAATTTCTGGCTGAGATCGTGTTGTTAAATCATTCGGCTTTCTGCTCTACGCGCATGTTTTTTGGTTTCAGAACAGTTTTTCTATTAGAACATGACGTGGCCCGTCTATTGGAGTGTTGGGACGGTCTGTCCGCGACGAGCTAACGACGGCGACGAGCTAGCGATGACGACGACGACGAAGACGAGGACGACGAGGACGACGACGACGAAGTCGAGCTAACGAGACGACGACGACGGCGACGGCGACGGCGACGGCGACGGCGACGGCGACGGTGACGGCGACGACGACGACGTCGACGACGACGAAGACGACGACGCAGCCACGCATCGCGCGTCGCGGCCCGTGCCGGAGGCTGCGCCCTTCTCCAGCGCTGGGCGGGGCGCGAGGGCGCGAGGCTGCCGAGGTGGCCGCGCGACGCGCCATCAGCGGGGGCGGCCCGCGAAGTGAGGTGGCCTGGGCCCCCCGCGGCCTCCATAGGACCCAGCACGGGGCCCAGGGAATTCGGGGGTGGACAGACCTCCAACCCTGACACGTCGATTAAGGACTTGGCCGTTTTCGGTTCGCGAGAGGGCGTCGTGGCCGTCATTTTTGCGGGTCCAGGTCCGTCAGTTTCGGTCCCAGGCCGTTTTCACTTAGGGGAGGTCTATTAAAGGGACGTTTGTTCACCGCCGAAGAATTGATTCTTTGGCTCGCGCCGCACCGCCGACCCCTCGGGGGAGAGTCGCTGTTGCGGCTTCTGGGTGCTTCGTTGTATCGAAGACGCCTACGGCGAATCACCGCCGCCCCCTGCCTTTTTGGAAGCGCCTATGTGGCCGAACGTTGAGGCCAGACCTGCCAAGCTATCGGACCACGTGTTCCCCGAATCGGTTTGGAAAGCCTTCGGGGAACACGTGGGCATCTTGAAGGTCATCTTGGCCGTCTTGGAGGCCTCTTGGGCAAGCTTTGGGCGAGCTTTGGGGCTTTTTGGGCCGTCTCGGGCCAGCTTCGAGCCAACTTCGGCCATCTTGGTGGGTTCCTGGCACGTCTGAAGCCGTCGGAAGCCGTTTGGGGGGCCTCTATGGGCCGACTTGGGGCCCGCTTGGAATGCTCCAGGGCCGTCTTGGAGGCCATCTTGGGCGTCTTGGAGGCCATCTTGGGCGTGTTGGAGGCCTCTTGGGCCCTCTTGGGGCCCTCTAGGGGCCATCTTGGAGGCCACTTGGGCCATCATGGGGCTCTCTTGGGGGCCTCTTGGGCGATCTTGGGGGCTTCTTGGGCCGTCTTGAGCCGTCGGAGAGCCGAAAAGGCGCAAATGCCAAAATCCTTCAAAAACCCATGGAAAATCAATGATTTTGGCCTCTTCGGACTCTCCTGGAGGACCTCTTGGAGGCCTCTTGGGCCGTCTGGGAGGCCTCTGGGGGGCCTCTTGGGCCGTCTTGGGCCGTCTTGGACTCTCTTGGGCCGTTTTGGAGGCCGTCTTGGACCATCTCGGGCGGACTTGGAGGCCATCTTGGGCCATCTTCGCGATTTTTTGAGGATGTCCCGAGCGAAACGGCCGTTTTTGGGCATTGACAGATGGGTTTTGTGAGATTTACGGGTGGCCGGCGGGACGGGCCGAAGCCCACTGGGGAGTTCTTTTAGAAAAAGAACCAAAACCAAAACCTGAATCGTCCAGCACGCCGTGCACCCCTGCAAGCAGGGGGCGGCGGATCGAAGACGCCTACGGCGAATCACCGCCGCCCCCTGCCTTTTTGGAAACGCCGATGTGGCCGAAAGTTGGACTAGAGCTTGGCCAAGCTATCGGACCATGAGTTCCCCGAGTCGGTTTGGAAAGCTTTCGGGGAACACATGGGAGAGAATGATTATGAACAGGAAGAGGAAGAGGAAGAAATAGAGTAGGAGGATGAGGGTTGTTAGGAGTCTCTTGGGGCACCCTTGGGGTCTGTTGGGGGCTTCTTGGGGGCCTCTTCGAGGCCTCTTGGAGGCATCTTGGGGGCCTCCTTGGGCCTCTTGGGGGCCTTTGGGGGCTTCCTGGGGGTCTCTTTGGCCGTCTTAGGGCGTTCCTGGTCCGTCTGACGCCGTCTGGAGCCGTCTTGGGGGCCTCTCTGGGCCGTCTTGGGGCCCTCTTGGGGCGCTTCAGGGCCGTCTTGGAGGCCATGTTGGGCGTCTTGGAGGCCTCTTGGGCCGTCTTGGGGCGCTCTTGGGGCCGTCTTGGGGGGCCCTTGGGCCGTCATAGGGCCTTCTTGGAGGCCTCTTGGGCGATCTTGGGGGCCTCTTGGGCCGTCGGAAGGCCGAAAAGAAGAAAACGCAAAAAACCTTCAAAAACCTAAGGAAAACCAATGATTTTGGCCTCTTCGGGCTCTCCTGGAGAACGTCTTGGAGGCCTCTTGGGCCATCTTGGAGGCATCTTGGGGCCATCTTGGCCGTCTTGGAGGGCATCTTGGGCCGTCTTGGAGGCATCTTGGAGCCATCTTACCCGTCTTGGAGGCCATCTTGGCCGTCTGGGAGGCATCTTGGAGGCCATCTTGGGCCATCTTGGCCGTCTTGGAGGCCATCTTGGAACCGTCTGGGGCAGGAAATTGGGGAATTGAGCTCCTGGGCATCCTTTCCGGGTGGCCGGCGGGACGGGCCGAAGCCCACTGGGGAGTTCTTTTAGAAAAAGAACCAAAACCAAAACCTGAAACATCCAGCACGCCGTGCACCCCTGCAAGCAGGGGGCGGCGGATCTAGCGGCCTTCGGCCCTTCCCGCCACCGTGCCTGGGTTGATGCTCAGAAGCCTCTTGGATGTTCGTTGGAATCTCGTGAGACGCCTTTCGAGGGGGTCGCGCCTCTTCCATGGCCCCCCTGGAGCGCCAACCCCTCTCCCCAGGGTGGGAATGGGGGTGGGGGGGTGTGCGTACTCTCTCTCTCTCTCTCTCTGTCTTTCACTGCCATGACCCCCTCCCAACTCAGTTGGTCTTTCCCGCCTCCCTCTCCTGACGCTCTTCGTTTCCCCCCTGTGGTCCGCTCTCGACCCGTCGATCCCCCATCCGCCCCCTCTTACATCTCCCTCGCCACCCTCTCCTGACGCCCATGTCTTTTCCTCACTCCGCCCTCCTTCTGCCAGGCGTCCCTCCATTTCCTCCCCGCGCCTCACTGCACTCTTACATCCCCCTGTGCACGCCCTCCGTTTGCCCGTCTTTCTCAACCCCTCGGTCCTTTCTAATCCTCACCGTTTCCCCCCCAACGCCTACAGCGCCCCTCTCCCTTCATGCGCCCTTTCCAACCCCCCCCCTTGCATCAGCCCCCTCCTCAGCCCGTCTTCCTTTCGATCAGCTCCGCATCGTTAATTTTTTCCTCGCCTCCCTCCCCTTGTTCTCCCCACCGCCCGCACAACATGTCGAATGATCCGCTCGAGTATCCGTCCCATCCCGCCACTCCAACTCCCCCGCCCAATCCCTTCCCCTTCAGGACTCGCCCGCCACTGCGTCCCCGGTACCCTCGTGGAGGTGCAAAGACTCCCTGACCACGGGCATCAGGCCAGGCCAGCCACCCACCGGGGGAGTGGCCGAGTCTAGGACGCAAGGGTGTTTGGGAAAGCGGGTCTAGAGGAGCAAAAATCTGTATAAACATAGACTTTTGTCGCTCCGCGCGGTTTTCTTGAATTTGCGCTGGGCCCCCCTCCCTGGCGCGCGGAGCGCGCCAGGGGCGGCACCGGAGGCGCCGCTGGGGGGGCCCAGCGCACATCCAAGAAATCCGCGGACCGCCAGAAGTTTCTGTTTATGGCGTTTCTTCTTATTCGAGGTCCGCTGGGAAGAAGGACGAGATCGGGGCAGAGTGTGTGTGTGTGTGTGTGTGTGAGTGTTCGAGTATGTGATCGACTACAGAATTGATGTATCCGAGAACTGATCTCCCCAATCGAATCTGCAACGAATACGTGGATTGTTCGAGAATCGATTGAGAATTCTAAAAACCTTCTGCATAGGTTCGACGAGAAAATCAATTCTGGGGTGTAGTGGAGGCCCATGCCAAGAAACACCCTGCTTGCCTCCAAGTGCCCTGGGTTTCTTGGGTTTCGATGGTCTTTCTGTGGAAAGCGTGACGTCCCCACACCAAAAATCAACGGACGTCCTGGGGTCTCAGGGTTGGGTTTCTCGTGGAAGGTTTCTTGTGGACTGGCCTCCACTGCAAATCAATCCTGCAGTCGATCCCCTGCTCGGAGTGCGGGTGCCGCCCCTCCCGCGGCCCTCCGCCGTCCCGCCTCCGCCCCTGCCTCGGCCTCTTGGGTCGCGCCCTCGCCTCCCGCTTCCCTGCCTCTGCGCCTCCCTCGTCCCCCCGCGCGTGCCCCTCGCCTTCCCCCCCTCTCCCGAAGGTGGATGAACCTCCTGCCCTGACGCGTCGATTCTTAAGGAAGGGGCCGTTCTCGGTTCGCGAGAGGGCGTCGCGGCCGTCGTTCTTGCGGGTCCTGGTCCGTCGGCTTCGGCCCCAGGCCGTTTTCACGAAGGGGAGTTGCTTATTACAGGGAGGTTTGTCCACCGCCGACTCTCCCGGCTCTTGTCCTCTCTCTTGCCGCGCTTCTTTGGGGGGCGGCAACGGGCGGGTGATGACTAGAGTTCTGGAGGACGATCAATGGAGAGGAAGCATGCTGCCAAATCATTTCATGATGTCTAAAACATGTGTTGAACATGCTTTAAGTTTGTAAAAAACACGTTTAAATCATGTTTAGAACATGGTTCAGGCATTTTGAACACATTTTAAGTTCAATGATAGGACTGTTAGGGTGTCCAATGTCGTGGCATCCACAGGGCTATGGGGGGTTGGACATCATGGCGAGGGCCATGATATGTCACCAGATTCCATGGCGCCTCTTCTCATTTTGATGCGTGCCCGGCCTGCCCCTGGGCCGCGCACACGCCGCCAGCCATGATTTGCGCCACTCCCCTCTCGGACGCCCCCCCCCTTGGACGCCCCCGATCCTCCCTTCCCTTTTCCTGCCTGCTCCTGCGGCTCCTTTTTCTGGGCCTCCCAGATGGGGATCAGAGCAGATGGGGCCAGAGGATCGCGCCGCATCGCCGATGCATCGGCGATGCGGCTCGATGTGGAGCCCGAGATTTCTCCACGCCGACGTCGCCGCTGCACCGCCGACGTTGCCGGTGGCTGGCCGATGCATCGGTAATGGATCGCCGATGCGGCGCGATCCTCCGACCCCATCCGCTCTGACCCCGTCTGGGCGGCTTCCGCAGGTCCCCTGCCAGCCTCTCGCGCCGCTTGGGAGCCCCAGGGGCCCTTCTTGGGCTTCCTCGGGCAAGCTCGAGGCTGCCATGCCCGGACCACCTCTGGCAGCGCCCGGGCCAGGACTCGGGAGTGAGCGAGAAGAGGAGGAGGAGGAGGAGGAGGAGGAGGAGGAGGAGGAGGAGGAGGAGGAGGAGGAGGAGGAGGAGGATGGTGAGGAGGAGGAAGAGGAGGAGGAGGAGGAGGAGGAGGAGGAGGAGGAGGAGGACCAGAGCAAACTCAAGAGTCATCAACGATGTTTGAATCAACTCTCCCACCAAGCTCCCTCTTCATAGGCCCCTACACGGTTCATTTCCACTGAGTCAACTGCCTCGTTGGAAGACAACCGTTTGAAGATCCTGAAGCATGCCAAAGGATTGTTCTCGGGATTCCAGCGCCACGAATCAACCTGACTGTTGCGTCTTGACAATCCCGAATCGTGCCAGGACGCCATTCCTGGGACTTCAACTCCGCGAATGAACGTAACTGTAGCACGCTCATAATCCGGAATTCTTCCAACACGCCGATTATGGTACGCTGATCATGGGAATGCATGAAGCCTCAGTTTATTGTAAAACAAAGATTGTGCGCGGCGCTAAGACGAGAGCCACATTTTGGAAAGGAACCACCCTCAATCCGTGAAGCTCAATCCGTGCTGTTTAGTCACGGGGGTCCGTGCTATTTGTTTTGTTGTTCCAGGCTGGCTTGCGCGCTGCTCCCGGTTTGATGGACAGGTCCCCGCATCCCATGCTTCTCCGACCGCCGGGTGGGGAGGAGAGGGGGAAGCGGAGGGGGGGCGGGGAAATGAGAGGGGTGGATCGGGGGAGGAATCGTCTGGCCCGCAGCCCGGGTCAGCGCCAGCCCCGGATCGGCCAGGGCCCGTCGCGAAGCCCGGCCGGCCGCTCAGTGGCTCCCAAACCCGGGGTCGGCCAGAGAGGATCGGCCGACCCCCTGTGAGCGCTGACGTGATCCCCGAAGGAAGGCGGTCAAACAGGAGAGGGGTACAGTCGGGGCCCTGAAGAAGGAACCCTATTGGTTGGGGAGGGGCTCCGCGTTCCTCAAGTGTTTCACAGCTTGCCTCAGGCTTTCCTTCTGTTTTCGACAGGAAATCGAAGGTTAACTTCTGGGAAAAAAAGGGCCTCGTGCCTTATTTTGGGTTCCTTAGGTCAACGCCCCGACTGTAGGGGACGGGGAAGGGAGCCAGGGCAGCGGGAGTGGCGGGCTTTGGCCCCCTTTCGCGGGCGCGTCTGCGGCACGCGGGGCGGGCGGCATCGGGCAGGGCAACACAGGCCGCACCGTCCCCTTTTGTTCCCCCTCTCCCCACCTTGCTCCACTGCTCTAGGCCTTCCAGATGGGGTCGGGGTACGTAGATAGAGTCGGAGAATCTCGTCGCATCGCCGATGCACCGGCGATGCATCGACGATGCGGCTCGATATGGAGCCCGCTTTTCTCCACGCCGACGTCGCCGATGCATCGTCGACGTCGCGGGCGCATCGCCGCTGCATCGGCGAGGTATCGTCGATGCTGCGCGATCCGCCGACCCCATCTACTCGGACCCCGTCTGGGAGGCCTCTAACTGTAACTGTGACCCGCCCTCCCCCGCCCGCACTCCCCCCCGCCGTCCCCCCTCCTCGCTCATTTCTTCCCTCTACGCATTCTGAATACTACTTTCCTTTCTCCCCTAAAGCTGCCCCGAAGATACTCGGCTCTTTTCGAGGATGCTTGCTTTGCACACCGGATTTCAAGCACCATTGCTTATTCTGTGTTTTGCCATCTGCTTGTTTTCGGTGTTTCAAGTGGTGTTCCCGCAGTAGCGTGGGCCTTATTTCAGGAGGGGAGAAACATACAGACACAATTAATCGTCGATTCCCCAGAAAATATGGGAAAATATGGGAATTGGGCGGGAAGGCAGAAACTCAGAAAATATGGGAAAATATGGTGGATCCTGTGATTTGTGTGTGGTTATGTGTGTGTCCTTGGGCCCCCTGATAATTCTCGGATCGGCGATTTGTCCCCGTTGTTCAGCATGGCGCTCTCGCCCCAGCGCGGGCCACTCTTCCGGATCCGAGGCCATTCCCCTGCCGGGTCCCCTTCAGGTCCCCTCCCTCTGCCTCTTACCCTGGTCCTCCTGCTCCTCCCGCCCCTTGCTCTCCAGCTCCTGCTGCTGCTGCTGCTGCTGTTCGTCCTTCTCCTTCTCCTTCTCCTTCTCCTTCCTCCTCCTCCTCCTCTCCCTCCTGCTCATCCTCCTGCTCATCCGCCACCCCATCCAATGTACGCAGCTCCCTTGCGATTGCGCATGGCACGAGGGGATCCTCTTTGAAATTCCAGGTCCGCTAGGACCGTCGTCGGCGCATGGAAACAACAGCGCAATTGGAAGGGATTTGTGCGAGGGGTAGGATGTCAGGTATGGCGCGATCGTACCTAGCTAGCCTCTCACCCCTCTCCTCCCCTCTCCCCCCTCTCCCCCTCTCCACTTCCCCCCCCTGTCCTTCCCTCTCCGCGTTTTTCTTCTCAACTTCCAGCTGCCTGCGGCACGTCCGACCGCCCTGTCACCCCAGTCCACCTTGGGTGGCGATTGACAGGAAGCCGCAAAGCGCGACACCTCGTGTCCCGAGGCTTGACAGAGCCGTAACATGTGACATGCCCTTCCGCGCCGTGCCGGTGCTGGGAAGCAATACGTAGAACATGAAGAAGATGCAGAATCTGACGATTACGATGATGACGACTACGATGACGACGATGATGATGCTGATGGTGACGATGAAGGTAGTGAAGATAATACTGATGCTGGAGGAGGAGGCGGATGCTGCTGTTGCTGATGTTGATTACGTGAGGACGATGCTGTTCATGATGATTATGATGATGATGATGTTGATGATGATGCTGATGATGATGATGGTGGTGGTGGTGTTGGTGCTGGTGGTGGTGGTGTTGCGGTTGCTTATGATGACGACGATGATGACGATAACGTTGAGGATGCTGTTGACAATCATAAGGAGGATGAGGAGGCGGAGGAGGAAGATACTGATGAGGGTGACAAGGGTGATGCTAATGACAACGAGGAGCATGCTGAAGATGAGGAGGATGCATGAGGATGAGGAGGAGGAGGATGGGGCGGAGGACGATCATGATGAAACTTATGAGGGTGATGCGGGTGAGGACGAGCAAGGAGGATCATGCAGAGGATGAGAACAGGTGAATGAGGATCGTGGAGGACGAGGGGGGTAGTGAAATGATGATGGCTATAATGGCGATGATGTCGGTGGTGGTGATCATAATGTTGATGCTCTTGCTGCTGCTGAGGAGGAGCAGAAGGATGATGAGGAGGAGGAGGAGGAGGAGGGCGACCGTCACATGTGACACCTTTCGCCTTCACTTCTCGAGGACCTATCATGGAGCTCATTTAGGCCGTCTTGGGGCTGTTCTCGGGCTTCGGTGAGCAGTCTTGGAGGTCTCTTGGTCCGCTTTGGGCTGTCTTGGGACCCTGTGCGGCCGTTTCAAGGCTCTCTTGGGCCGTCCTTTGGCCCTCTTGTCCGTCTTGGGCGTCGTGGGGCTGTCTTGGGGCCCTCTTGGGCCGTCCATGGCTCCCTCAGGCCGTCTTGGGTCTCTCTGGAAGCCCTCTTTGGCAAGCTTGTGCTGTCTTGAGACCGTCTTGGTGAATTACTTGGAGTTTGTTGGACCTTCTTGGGCCGTCTTGGGGCCACGGAGGCCTCTGGGGCCGTCTGGAGCTGAAGGAAACCCGAAAAGGTGAAGACATTCATCTTTATAAGGTAGGAACATCTATGATCTTGGCATGTCAGGACCCTGTCGGGGATCCTTTCGTGGCTCTCTTGGGCAGTTTTTCGGGGCCTTTTAGGCCGTCTTGAGGCCACCTTGTGCCGCATTGGGGCCGTCTTGGAGGCATCGTGGGCCATCTTGGCGGCGTTGGTTGCCTGCCTGTGCTGTCTTGAAGCTCTGGAGCGCGGCTGCGCGGACCTCCACAGGCGGTGGATGTGGACAGTTTCGGGCCCCCGGGGGCCGAAATGTACTCCAGATTTCGTAATAAAGGGAGGGGGGTCTCATTTCGGGGGGGGTCTCTTCCAGGCTATCTTGGAGGGCCTGGGGGGGGTCTGGGGACGATGTTTTGGAGGGTTCTCCCACGGGGGAGGTCTGAAATGGCTTGTCTTGGAGGGTCCAGACCCCCTCCCTTTTATTACGAAATCTGGAGTATCCACATCCACCGCCCGCCGGGGCACCAGGACGTCGGTTTCCCAGGCGGTGGATGTGGACAAATCCCCGCCTCGCAACTCCTTGGGCCATGTGGGCTTCGGCTCGGGGGCCCCCAAGCGTGGTGGTGACCACACCGTGTGGTGAGTCGGTGGGGATTCGGGGTCACCGCACGGCTTTGGCACCCGGGGTCGTCCTCCGAGGACGTCTCCGGCGACCAGGGGCATCCGAGGGCCCAGAACCGTGCGATGACGGACCGTGCGGTGAGGTCTTAGGAAATTTCGAGGTCACCGCACGGTCTGTCACCGCGCCGTTTCGGGACTGCAAAGGGCTGGCTCGGTGGCCTCCCTGGGCTCCCAGAGGGGCGTGGTTTTGACGGCACGACTGGCGTTTGGGGCGCCCAGGGACCCTTGGGAAGGCGGGGTGCGCGCGCTCCTCTCTGCCGGTGGAGGGGCGGGGGGGGGAGCCTGGAAACCTACAGGCAAGACGCTGAAACAAGTTGGCGGCGCGCACAGGGGGGGAAGGGGGAAGGGGGGAAGGCTTCTGAGAAGGAGGCTGCTTCTTGGAGGCTGCTCCCCCCTGCCCCCCTGTGCGCGCCGCGAAGCAAGGACCTCTTTGGGTTAAGGCGGGGCTCTGGTTTTCGGGCCGTTCGCGAGATCTTGGTCGGCGAACCTATTTGTGGCCGGGGCGATCCGTGGCCAGGAAAGCTTTTCGTTCCTTATTCAGCGTTCCCTCTGGCAGCGAAATGACTGCACAGACACCCAGCTAGGCCGTCCTGGTACAAGACGGTGCCGCTCCACTGCGCGTTGGGGGCGCGGGTTGTGGATGTTTGCGAAACCTTCTCTGGGGCGAAGTGGGTCAAGCAGTGGCGAAGCGTCCTGGCAGGGCCTATAGGTCCATCAAATAATGTTCTAATCACCTTTTGTGGTCTGCACGAAAGGTTCCAAGAACATGTCTGGCCGAGATTGTCTTGTTTGACTCCTCGGGTGTATGTTCTAAGAACATTTGTTTTCTGCGCAGAACATGTGGGGGTTCTAAGAACATTTCGTGGTAGGCCTACAGGAATGCTGGGACGGCCGGTCCCTGCTCAAGTGGGGGGCAGTGAGGAATCGCCGAGGCGGCGCGACAGCATATCAAAAACAAATATGTTGGCTGCTGTTGAAATATACGCGGATATATACATATATATGTATAAATGTATATATTTATGTATATATTTATGTGTTTGTTTGTTTGTTTATGTATTTATTTATTTATTTATTTATTTATTTATTTGTTTATTTATTTCTAGAAGTAGGGCATGATACCAATGCAGCATTAAATATATCCAGGCACGGCTCGGAAGCCGGCGTGCTGAGCTGCTGCCCCTCCCCGCCCCTCCGCGCGCAGGTTCCACGGCGGCGGAAGTGCCAGCTGCAGGGAGCTGTACAACTACTGCAACCACAAGGCTGCGGCGGGGGCACGGGCCAGAGGAGGAGGAGGGAGGGGGAGGAGGAGGACGGAGGAGGATAATAATAATAATAATAACAACTCACAAGAGCGATCGTTCGAAGACCTGTCGATTCAGCCTGGCAGAAAGGACTTAAACAGGGGCTCATACGCTCAGAGACGCGTGACTGTAGAGGGGGTGACACGAGCTAGGCCCACCGACGACAGTGCACGCAAGCCCCTTATCAGCACGAAGCGTGAGGGGCCGCGAACGCCGTACACTCGTACCTGTAGCACAAGTGCACCACAAGTCTTATCCCTGTGATCTCGATTTAGATCGCTCATGTTTCAAACGAGCCTCCTGAAACCGTGACGACAGTCGAACTCCGTCGGACACACTCAAAACTGGGGGAGGAGGAGGAGGGGGAGGAGGACGAGGGGGAGATCCGTCTCTTGGCTGGCGGCAGGGGCCTGGGACATCAGGCACAGCACGAGCGTCAGCAGGCCTCACTGCGTGCCGAACTCGATGATCGCACGCAGCAGGATGATCTGCATGCCGTACTCGTCGAGCGCCTGGGTCAGGCGCGGCACGAGCTGCATCAGCGGGTATCATTGGGCCTCGAGCTCGTCGATCGCCTGCTGAATCCTGCGCTCGAGGTCCCCTGGCGGCGCCACTCCTTCGAGCTTCACCGCTTTGTCGCGTAGCCACAACGGAACCAGGACTTGCTGCAATATCTTCTCGCTGTCGCTGTTGGGCTTGACATTGATCTCTAGGCGCTTGGTCTTGCTGTCGTATGTCTTGCAGCATCGTGCGTATTGAACTTCTTTCAGGAGATTGTGAAGGTATTTGGCCGTCTCGGGGCTGCCTTGTTTCATCTTGTCGATGTACTGCTGAAGACTGGTGGCCATCGGCGGGTCGAGGTCTTTCACTCCAAGAGCCGTCTTCGCCACGATGATCCATGCATTCCAAACGTGTACGTGAGGATGAGCGAGGGCCGCGATCTTCTGTTGCTTCTGGTCCTTCCCGTACTGCTTCGCGGCCTCCGCATAGCTCTCGGTAGAATTCTTCCCCTGGATGAAGTACTCGGAGCTCTCGCTCACCTGATAGTTTTCCAATACGATGGCCCTGAGAATCCTCGACGACATAGCAGTACTGAGGGTCAACTTTGCTATGAGAAGAACGAGAGCCTGCAGGTCGTGTTGATTGGCTCCTTTGCGTCGCTCCTTCGGCGGTCTGGGACGGAGGAGGAAGGAGGAGGAGGAGGACGGAGGAGGAAGGAGGAGGAGAAAGGAGGAGGAGGAAGGAGGAGGAGGAGGAGGAAGGAGGAGGAGGAAGGAGGAGGAGGAAGGGGGAGGAGGAGGAGGCTGAGAGAGAAAAGAGAATAGGCAAGCTGCGTGCGCTCGCGCCATACCTGTCATCCTATCCCTCCCATCCCTCCCCGTTGCGCTTATTTTCCTCTAGCGGCGGACGCTTGTCAAAGAGCTCCACAAACGACCCCGTGGTGTGATGCGCAGTCGGAGAAGAAAAAGTTGTGGGACTTGTGCGACCTTGGGGACCTCTGTGGCCTGTGGGAGTCTCGTGGGCCTGTGAGATCTGCGACACCTGTGGAACCTGTGGAACGTGTGGGCCTTGTGGGACCCGTGGGAACTTCGGGACCTGTGAGACCTGCGAGACCTGTGGGACTCATGGCGCCGCCAGGAACTGTGGGACCTGGGGCACCTCTGTGGCACCTGCGAGCCTCTGGGACCTGTGGGACCTTCGGGACCCGTAGGACCTGTGGGACCTGTTGGGGCATGCGAGACCTGCGACGCCTGTGGGATCTATGGAACCTGTTAGACCAGTGGTACCTGTGGGACCTGTGGAACGATCTGCGACACGTGATGGACCTGTGGGGCTTGTGGGGCCTGCTAGACTGAGACACGGGAGACCTGCGAGACCTGTGGGATCCAGAAAAGTTGCCTACGCTGGGGCGGGACCGCCATTCTTAAGGACGGGGGCATAGCGCCGATCCGAAAATGAGGCGAAGGGTACAGCGATAGCAACCTTTGTCTGAACAGCTGTAGGCAATCGGCTGGTAACAACCATATGACAAGCCAGTTCGCGCAAATCCCGTGTGTAAGAAAAAGGACGCAGAGGGGGGCGAACATTCTTGGGACATATTCGGGGAGAGAGGAGAGCAGTATGCAGATGGTGTAGCTGTATAGAGGAAAGGGAGAGGAAGAGGTGGATCAGGGGCAACGTGATGCGGGGATAGGCTCAGGGGGGACGCATCGACCCCCCATCGCCCACTGATCGCCAACAGGAGCTCGAAAGCCCACGCCCTCCTGGAGCGTGCTGCTCTGCTATCGGGGCCCTACCGCCAATCTGCAAGCGATGCATCGTCGACTCCAGGCCGATGCTCCCCCCTGAGACGCCCTCCCCAATCGTTCCCCCTCAGCGGAGGAGGGAGCGGAGGAGGAGGACGTGGAGGGGGAGGGGGAGCAGAGGGAGGCCGAGGAAGCGCAAGCATGGACCCAAGGGCGCGTGGATTAGCGGCGGGTCCTGTTTCCGTGCAGGGTCGGCTCGCTCCGGCGCCAGCTCGGGCGGTAGTGGCTTCCTGTTTCGGGGGAGTCTTCTCCCCGATCCGTGGTCCATGGATCTGGTGCCCACTCGCCAGCTCCACGGATCCGTAATCCATGTTGGCGTGTTCCCGAGAGGGGGAGGGGCGGAAGAAGGTCAAAGAAGGAAAAGGTACCCATTGGACTGCCCTGGCCTCGTTTCCCCCTTTTTAGGCCTCGTCGGAGGCCCTCGTCGCCACTGCTGGATCCGCCTCGAAATTCTGGTCAGAATGCACCCCAGGAGACGGCCAGGGAGTGGTGGTATCGGTACCTCTTGGTTTCCCCAGAAGGGAGTGCCCAGGGCGCGCGGCTCTCTCAAGGGCAACCGCTGAGCTCCCCTGTCGCAGGCGCCCCCGCTGAGGGAAATGGCGCGCGCGCGCCCGCTTGCGGGGGTCCGGGGGGCCCGAATCATACACCGGGCCCTGGCGGTTCCGGACTCGCCCCTCTGCCGCGCGACGGCCAGCCGTTGCGTTTATTTTGTCCCGCACCTCGTGCTGGAGAGGGCAGACCCAGCGTTGCAGAACAAGCAAACCGCATGAACCACAAACTTTGGGAGGCCCGTGCGGATCTCTCGCGCTGGCGTTGAGGCCCCCCCTCTCCGCACCACTTCCCTGGCGCGCGCCCCTAGGTTTTGGGGGAGGGGTACCCAGCGCCGAGTCGAGAGATCCGCGCGGAGCCCGCCGGAAGCCGCGCTCGTGAGTGCAGGCTGGCCGAGCGGCGCGGTGCCAGACCGAGTTGTTGTTGATCTTCCCACGCGTGGCACCAACCTTTGTTGTGGAAGTCGATTAATGGAGAGGAAGCATGCTGCCAAATAATTTCCAGATGTCTTAAAAAGATGTTTCAAACATGTTTTAGATATGTTCAAAAACATGTTTGAAACATTCTTAGAACATGTATTACACATGTAAAACACATCTTGAATTCAAAGATAGGATTGTTGGAGTGCCCATTGTTGTTCGGCCAGTGTTGTTCGGCCGCGCGCAGAGGGGGGTGGGGGTGAGGGGGGAAGGCTTCTTAGAAGCACCCCTGTTTCTGAGAAGGCGCGGGCTTTGGCTGTAGGGCCAGCGCCTTCCAGGAAGCCTTCCCCCCTCCCTCCACCCCCTTGGTGCGCGCGGCCAGGTTGACGGCCCCGGGGCTGGGAAACGGCCTCTCGAGTCGGGCGTTCCGTCAGGAGTCACTGGGAGGCGATCGAGGGCTGCAGGAAGGGGGGTCCCAGGAGAGGCCCCCTGGGGCCCCGAGGGTGGCAAAGGGGCACCTCTCTTCACCACCCCGCGCGCTGCGCCCCCATGAAGCCATGCCCGAACGAGACCGGACACGCCGCAGCACCTGTCGGATGCTCTTCTGCGGCGCCCGGCACCGCGGGATCGGGTGTGGCACGCCGACGAGGGGGGCCGGGAAGAGGCACCGTGGCCCGAGGCATGCGCACGGACGAGGGGGGTGGGTGGGGCATGGGGCGTATGGAACAAGGGCTCCCTCGAGGGCGCGAAGTTATTCGCGCTTCGCGCTTCGCGGTCCTCGTTCCTCCTCCCCCTCCTCCTCGTCCTCCTTTTCTCCCTTTGGGGGGGCGGCGCGAGAGCGCGAAGTTATTCGCGCTTCGCGCTTCGCGGAGCGCGAAGCGCGAAGTTGGGAGCCCTAGATGGAAAGAAGGCCAGGGTTAAGTCGGGCACGTCCCTCTACAGGAGGGATACTCAAAAAGAGTTGTCAAAATAGTCTGGGGACCATCTTTTGGCAATTGTTGAACGTTCTTGGTCTATTTTTTTTGGTGGTATTTATTGTTTTTCGCCCAAAATCCCCCTGTAGGGGGACAGGCCCGACGTAAGGCCTGGGGGCATGAGATCTGGGGCGCGAGCGTGGGCCGCAGCGCAACGCAGCGCCCAACGCCCGATCGGAACAGGGCCAGTCCTGATGCAGAACACGGGGTCAAACATGCACGGCGACAGTACCTTTGGAGTGTCACGGGAAACAACTTCGGAGAGCGTACGGGTGCCGTTTGCGAGCAGGGGGGGCGCGCTCCGCCGCCAGATCAAGTGGCGTGTCTCGGGGATTCTGCTCCCCGATCCGTGGACCTCCGAGGAGCCAGAGGTCATACTGATGATACGTTCCAAGATGCCCAGCAGGCTTTCCAAGATTCCCTGATGTTCGGCAGGGGCTGCAGGAACGAGGGCCGCTCGATACCCTGGAAATCCTAACACGTATCCTCGGCCAATTCTGTCAAGACATCATTTTCTCTCTAGGATAGAGCGCCCACGCGCCAGATCCTCAGATCCGTATTCCATGGCAGATGTCAGTGCGTGCCCGAGCCACGCCAGGGAGTTTTAATACAGGCCCCCCACACGGAAGGCCACGGGCGGGGTGTGGGGCTGCGGGAAGCAGAAGGGCAGGGGGCGCTCTGTCGGTCTTTCTCCCTTTCTTTATCCCTCC